GGCCACACAGAGCCATGCTGTGGCTGCTACCCAGGCTCCGCCCAGCAAGATCACCACAGCTGTAGCCTTGGGAGGCCTGTAGGATCCCAGGTAAGGCTGCTGGGGCTAGGATCTGGAACCAACTTCCAAGTAAAGTGGTGCTGGCTCCTACCCTGGGGGTCTTTAAGAGGCGGCTAGATGAACACCTTGCTGGGGTCGTTTGACCCCAGTACTTTTTCCTGCCATGGCAGGGGGGTCAGACTTGATGATCTGCTCAGGTCCCTTCCAACCCTACCAGCTATGAAACATTTTTCACAATTCACAACTGTGTAGTGTGGTTTACACTGAATGTTTCTGTCGCTCCAGTGTGGTTCTGTTTTAAAGTCTTTGGGGACCATGTGATGGCCAAACATAAATACATACACTTTGCAAACATATCTGCTTAACGAGCATACATTACTCTTGACCAGCAATAAGACATACATTCTATTATTCCAGCTAAATCCACCCACTAATTTATGATTTTACCACACATAACAGAACATTACTATTTTCAACGATTAGTCCTTGCATGTGATTTTGAGCTATTAAACATTCTTAGAAAATTCTTGCCAACAGATTTCTATCCTGTCAAGAAACAAGCAGCAAAAGAAAAGGCTCTCCTGCTTGGAACTGAGCAAGGCATCTTGGTTCTCAGCAATCATCTGAAGCCAGGCCCGTCCAACAGGTGGCATGCAAGGGGTTAATCTGTGGCTCCTGGGCTCCCCCCGGCTGCTGCTCCCTTCATGGTGGGGAGCTCTAGACTCTGCCTCCCTTTTTTGGTTTCACTTCCTGTCCATGCCCCAGGAGGCAGCAGTATGGCACAGCCTGAGAATACTAGGGGAGCCCAGTCAGGGAAGGGGAGTGGTATCTGTGGCCCTGCTACCACAGCCCCCAGCTGCTAAGAATCTGAATAGCCAGAACCTGAGGCCATTCTGGATCAGTATTTCCCATATGCAACATAACTAAGCTGCATTTGTCTGGGCAAGTATGCAGCTACTAGGATCAAACCTTGATGTCCATAAGGATTAGCTGGAGGAGGAAAAAGTATAGGGAACGGCACCCTGGGATGTCCTTCCCCAGCAACAGAGAAAGCTTCTTTATTAGTTTGAACCTTTACTCAGAACAGGACAAAAGACAAGAAACGTTTTTGTTCAGGTACGAGCTAGAGATCCACCTTTGGTAGCTTTTGCCGAATCTGATCTGCCATTCCCAAAGTTAAAAAACTGCAGTGATACTCCAACGTGGGACTGACTCAGAGGCAGAACACAAAATGGAAGACAAGGAGCCAACCAAGAACATCTTATCCCTAGGTGAAGTGCAGTAATTCAGCTGATGCTTGTTTCCACTGTGATGCAGAATCCACCACTGAGATCACCTCATGTGGAAATGCAACATGATCATTACAAATACAGTTAGCCACATTCAAAAGCCAATCCCTTTCTCCTCCCACTTAGACTTCAGTACTTAACATTAAGAAAAGCAATTTTCAAAATTCAGGGATATATGAAAATATCATACCATCTCTCATTTTCAGAATTCTCCTAGTATATTCACTTGTGCACAAGAATAAATTACTTAAACTAATTATTGGTAGATAGTCTCGTAACCATACATTCATATGCACCTAATTAAAAACCCTGCCCATCCTGTGAACTTCTACTTACCTTTTTCTTCCTCCTCCTCCTCTTCCTCACTTTCCTCAGCTTTGTTCTCAGTTTCAGGCTCTCTCTCATCAGCTTGTTCAGTAGGCATTGTATCTTCTTTAGAGGAAACAGGAGACGACATGGCTGTTTGTTTTGCTGAACACAAAAGGGGACAACAGACAACCGTATTATGGCACAGGAAGAACTTCTTTAAATGAATCTATCAGACAGCTTTATAGGGTAGAGTCAAGGAAACTTGCTGACTATTTGATGACATAAAACACATTTTCAAGCACTTCCAAAAGGGTCAGAGTGTTATAGGGTGTTAAGTGGGGTTTTAGTTTGTTACATCTTACCTTGTGGGTTGCTTGTTCTTTTGAGCTGCTCTAAGCCTCTCTGAATAGGACGGAATAAAGTTCTTAATAACAATAACAACAATCACAGGAGAAATGCATGTTTTTCACATCTCCCAATGCAAATTTGGCCAGCCATCCTGTAATCACACAAATCCCTCACCAAATTACAGTTAATTTTAAATTTTACTTAGAACAGATAGCATAGTTAAAAATCCTTCTAAACATTAAAGTCTTGCTGTGTGGTTTGTGAGTAACACCTACTGAAAGCAAGCACATTGCATTAACATATGTTGGTTTTCCTCTGTAAGTTTTAACACTAAGAAAATACAAACGTTAAGAAACTACACTTTTCACTATGCTGGAAGAAAAATTAATTCTGGATTTGGTCAAGCAAGCAAAATACTATGTTGCAAAACACCAGATAAGTGGTTCTCAACCTTTTTAAACTTAAGGAAACCTGCAAAAAATGAGTTTTCACTCATTTTTTGACTAAAAATAGCAGAGCAGCTCTTCTCTATCAAGGCCACGACAGGTTGGAGTTTTTAAACAATGGATTCTTGTTTAAAATCTCTGTATTTATCTTGTGAATTGTGTTTGTACACCTAACACTACTAATATTGTGTGACATGCCACAACACCCTGGAAAGCATTTCAGGGTACCCCAGGGTGCCACGGCACCCTGGTTGAGAATCACTGTACTAGATACATCAAGCTGCACATTTACAGAGAAAATGAAGTGCGCACTGTGGAAAAATTAAGGCTCCTTTCAAAAGCAGCATCAGTTGTAGGCTATCCCCTGGCCTATGTTATACAGGCAAGACTAATGATCTAAGTGATTATTTTGGCTCTAAATATTTATCAGCATACTGGAAACAGTTTATTTTTAAAAGAAGTCTCTAGACCAGGTCAACTGGAGGTACGCATACTCCTGGGGGTACTTGGATCGGTCCTAGGGGGTATGTGCGGGCAGGGACAGAGCGCTGCTGCCTCCCAGGAGCAGGGCTGGGGTGGCAGCAGCAGCACCCCTCTGTGGGGTGGGGAAGTTCACATGCGGCAACTGCCACACACCAGCCCGGTAAACTTCCCTACCCTGTAGAGGGGCACCACTGCCTTCACCCTAGCCCAGTGAGCTTCCCCACCCCAGCCCTGCTCCTGGGAAGCAGCGGTGCTCCATCCCCGCCTCCCTGCTCCATGTCTAGCTATGCGCTGCTCCCCACAACCCCAGCATTCAGCTGTACACTAACCACCCCGCAGCATTCAGCCGCCAGGGGTACTTAGACTAGAAAAGGTTGAAATCCCCTGCTCTGAACTAAGTCAAGCAGAAGACCATGATGGGCCTTAGAAACCAACTCATTCAGAGAAGCATAAGCTTCACAGGCAACTGCCTACTTTGTCAGATGCTATGAATGGACTACAGTTCCAATAGTTAAAAGCCCTCATTTAGCTTTCAAGTAGAAACAAATCTCACCCAAAATTTCTTTGGGTGTATGAAATGGGGAAAGAGAAGTTTCTCTATTTTCCTGAAGACAGAATAATGCAAGCCCTACTCTAAAGAAAACCTCATCAGTCTACACTGCAATTAATCTCATGTTGTTGTATCTTGAAGCTGTTAAGGTTTAATGTAATGTACAGCAAAAGTTGCAGCACTCCTAAAGCAATGACTCTCAGCCAGACTAGCAGGGCACCCTGGGGTGCCACCAGAGCCTTTGAAAGCTGTCCTGAGGTATGAGGAGATAAGCAGATAACCTAAGCAGAAAAGTAGTCAAGCTCAGGCTTGTCCTTGCCTGAAAAATCCCCTACTCCCATTGCCCAGTTCCTCTGCCAGAAGCTAAGCACTGTAATATGTAAGAGTTATGGAAGTGGGATGCCACTCAATTCACCAGATATGGAGAGGGCCTCAAGTCCAATGAAGTTGAGAACCACTGTCAAGTCATGCCTAACTGCTTTTCTGTTCCTAAAGAAAGGCCAGTCAGTTTTAAATGGCTCTGGTATATTTGCACAAGGGAGTTTGGCAGAAGGCAGTAAATCAGCTGAAAACATCCTAGCATAGCAAATCTCAACCAGGGTGCCAGATTCATCCAAGGGTGCTGGGGAATATAAAGAGAAAAGCAAGGTGCAGTGACGAAATAAGCACATCATCACAGCCTCAGGCTGGTCCCTGCCTGTTCAATTCCACCCCCGTATGCATGCAGGTAAGCCCTGTAACACATAGCTTGGTTTCCAAAACAGGGATGCTGTTCACTTCACCGAAGTTACAGAGGGGGCTGTAACTCCAAAAAGGCTTACTGTGGTGCAAGCTCCTGTCATCTCCCTCCTCTACCTGAATCAGGTTCAGGCATTATGTCCAATGTCGTGTCAAACAGTTTTACTGAGGCCCAACTATGGATGTACAAGGGATGGGCTGGCTGGGGATAACTGCATCTCAGGCTGCTGTGGTTCCCCTGCTTTACCCAAGGCAAGTTGGGGTGTAAGGCCCACACTGCATCACAGTGGACAGTCCACTTCAAGTGGAGTTTACACAATGGTTCGTATGGGACGCTTTGGCTGAGGAGGATCTGCCTCAGGCAGAGGCTGGACGAGAGGAGCTCTGGGGGCCCCTTCCTGCCTGACCTCTCCTATGACCCTTGCAGCCCTGAGGCACCAAGGGGCAGGCTCTCCTGGCATCCCCAGCTGAGAATCCCTGCCCCAGAGGGACTGCAACTTCCTCACTCAGGCGAGCTGGTGCTATTTCAAAATCCACCCGGCTCCTCTCCAGTCCCTTCTGCTGCTCCAGTTTTCTTAGGTGTGCAATAATTAGGGGTGCACTGATAGAAATTTTTGGGGCCAATACTGATAGACTTTTTTAAGGAGGCATGTCGACTGATACCAATCTGATTTCTGATACCAGGCCAGCAGCTTGAAGGGCTGCTTCCACCTGGTAAGCGTGGTGGGGTGGAAAGGTAGGGGGGAGGAAAGGGAGCAGATCAAGGCCCCCTGCAGTGAAGAAGCGGGGCTGGGGCAAGCGCTGCCCAGCCAGGGTGGGGTGGGACAGAGCCATGGCTCATCCAGGGGGTGTGGATCCCACCACTATGCACCGGAGCTCCCACCACTTGTCCAGGAGGTCGGGGGCATGCCCCTGGATCTGCATGAGGCGGGGTGGGAAGAGTCCTGTGCAGCCCCAGACTGTTCCGCCCCGATCCAAGGGCACACACCCCTCTCCCATGGCCTCCCAGATGAGCAGCAGGAGCCACCAGATGAGTGCAGGACCAGCAGCATACAGCAATCGGAGCTACCCCACCCCCCAGACAAGCCACAACTTTGTCTCGCACCCACTTTGGCTGGGCAGTACTTGCCCCAGCTCAGCTGCGCTCCTCTCCAAGGGGCTGGGCTGCACTCCTTGCTGCCTATGTGCTGCGCTGCCGCTGCACATATGCACAGGCATTTATTGGCCAAATTAGGCTGATTTCCGATTCAATCAATTTTCTTTATATTGATGCCAGTCTGATACCAGACAAACGTAGCAGTGCACCTCTAGTGATAATCATTGTATTTGTACAGTAATTTCAACCCTCGTATGATACATGATCAATAGCAGTAAAAGTGTTCGAACCCCAGGATAATTAGAGGCAGCTCACTGATGCAGCACATGCAAAACCCAAGTCAGTTTCAGAGTCTCAACCAACCATCAAGTCTGCTGTCAGCACTTTCTTACCACTGCTTGCCTCAAAATAAACAAACGCTTCAACTTTGACCCCCCCCCCGCTCTCACTCCTCACTGGCGGCTTACCGCCAGAAAGTAAATAAGGAGACGACGTCTTTGCATACGTTATCCGCCTATTTTTTCAGCGTACAACTGTTTTTCAGCAAACACGATCATTTGGAGCTCCCAGTGCCATCACTGCACACTGAAGACCCGGCTGCTCCCGGCGGGGGGTGCTCGGAGCTAACTGCCCGCCAAGCCAGGCCTGGGTGCCCCGCCCAAGCCGCACGCGACGGCGCCAGGGCGGCCTCTGCCCTCACACCGGACCCGCCCCACACGCGGGAGGCCGGTAAGGCCTGCGCGTCTCTCGCCCCCTCCGCGCCCCGCTCCGGCCGGGCCGGGCCGGGCCCCGCAGGCCCCCGGCCCATGATGACGGCGGCGGGCGCGACACACACCTCAGCTGGGCGCGGCCCGGCGGCGATAACAGCCACTAGCGGCGGGGCTG